CTGCACTCCAGTCTGGGCGACAGAGTGAGACTCCAACTCAAAAAAAAAAAAAAAAGTTCAAGATTGTTGTTTTAAAGATCCTGTCTCTGTTCCTTTGTACCTGATTGTGAACTTGAATCCACCATTTAATCTCCTAAAATATGGATTTTACCTCTCTCACTTGTTAGGAAGGACAGAGTTAAGGAATACAATATTATTTATAGACCTTTCAGTCTTTATTATTATAGACTCAGGTGCAGTGACTCATGCTTGTAATTCCAGCACTTTGGGAGGTTGAGGTGGGAGGATTGCTTGACCCAAGGAGTTCAAGATCAGCCTAGGCAACATAGCGAGGTTTTGTGTTAAAAAAAAAGAAAAATTAGCCAGGCGTGGTGGCACGTGGCTATAGTCTCGGCTATTTAGGAGGCTGGGATTATAGGTATCCAAGTAGCTGGGATTATAGGCATGCACCACCATGCGTGCCTAATTTTTTGGATTTATTGTAGAGACGAGGTCTCATCATGTTGCTCAGGCTGGTCTTGAACCCATGGACTCAGGCAGTTCTCTCACCTTTGCCTCCCAAAGCACTGGGATTACAGGTGTGAGCCACTGCAACCAATGAATAGATAACACTCTTAAGGGCTTACTGTGTGCTGTGCACAATGCTAAGCTAACAGCTTTACGTGGGGTTTATTTTCTGATAATCCTATAAGGTAAGTTTAGCATTCCTACTTTAAAGAAAAAGAAACCTGAAGCTCACTGGGGTTAAGTAAGTTGCCTGAGGATTCAGATCTGGGCAGTCTGGTACCAGAGCCCTGCCTGTTCTTGCTCACTATGTTATACTTCCTCAGTGCTGGTTTCTTTTTTTTTTTTTTGGAGTTGGAGTCTCACTCTGTCGCCCAGACTGGAGTGCAGTGGCCGCTCCTGGCACCGCAACATCGACCTGCTGGGCTCCAGTGATCCTTCCGCCTCAGTCTTCCGAGTAGCTGAACCTACAGGCGCGCGCTACCATGTCCGGCTGATTTTTTTTGATTTATTGTAGAGATGAGGTCTGGCCAAGTTGCCCAGGCGGGTCTCGAACCTACGGGCTCAGGCAATCCACTCACCTCAGTCTCCCAAAGGCGTGGGATTACAGGCTGAGCCACCGAGCCCGGCGCTGGTTTCTTTTATCTTTTGTTTTTTTGAGTTGGAGTCTCACTCTGTCGCCCAAACTGGAGTGCAGTGGCCGCTCCCGGCACCACAACCTCGACCTACTGGGCTCCGGCGATCCTTCTGCCTCAGCCTTCCAAGTAGCCGGAATTACAGGCATGTACTACCACGCCCGGCTGATTTTTTTTGATTTATTGTAGAGATGAGGTCTCGCTGCCCAGGCGGGTCTCGAACCCACAGGCTCAGGCGATCTACTCACCTCAGCCTCCCAAAGGCGCGGGATGACAGGCTGAGCCACCAAGCCTGGCCTGTTCTTGTATTTATTCTGAAGTTCTTGCTGCTTTGATTTTTTCTTCTAATGGCTGTCATATGCAAATATTTTAATTTATAGGGCAAACATTTTTCCAGGACCTGCTGGACCATTAGAACTCTACTTGTTAAAGTGTCGGTACCTGTAATACCTACAAAGTTATGTTTGTATCCAGGCATTCACCCTCACACAATTCGGAGTCAGTGATGAGTGGCCCTGGTTGGGCAGCTGCGGCCAAACTTGCAGCAAGGCAGGGCCTTTGCACAGGCAGTTGCATTGCAACCACAGGTGTGAACCACCACACCTGGCAATTAATAGTATATATTTAATATGATTATTAAATTTAAACATTTTTGTAAAAGGTCTGACACTTGGTATTGAAACTCATTCTAGATATGTGGAAGAATTACAGCTAAAACTTACAAAGGCTAATGAAAGTGCAAGCTTTCTGCAGAAAAGTGTTGAGGAATTGACTCTCAAAGCTGAACGCAGCCAGCAAGAAGCAGCTAAAAATCATGAGGAAGAAAGGAAAGAATTGAAGGAAAAATTGTTGGACCTGGTAAGGAGGGAGTAAATGGGACTATCTGCTGGCAAGAAAGGTGAGGGGCAGAAAGCTGATATGGCTAGATGACTTACTCCTTTATTTACTCTTTACTTGGGGTTTCTGCAGGAAAAGAAAATGGAAACGAGCCACAACTATTGTCAAGATCTGAAAGCCAGGTATGAAAAAGCCAGTTCTGAGGCACAAACCAAGCACGAAGAAATCCTACAGAACCTCCAGAAGATGCTGTTGGACACAGAAGACAAGCTGAAGTCTGCACAGGAAGAGAACAGCAGCTTGTTGCGGGAGATGGAGGAACTGAAGAAACATGCTGACGAAGCTAGAGTATGTTGTGGGAGAGAATTTTGTTACTGCGTTATAGCTTGCCGGAGTTAGAAAGCAGCAGCAAATAGGACAAGTTCGGTTGACCTCTACAAATATTAACCTTCTGAGCGCATGGCAGGGTGGCAAATTATGTTTCTTACGGCTTCCTACTGTTTGTGCCAGCTGTGCCAGTCCTTCTTGGGTATGCTGATGGCTACAGGTCTTTCCCCTGAAGGTACTGTGTAGCCATCGCTCCCTGCTACTTGTTGTCCAGCTGTCACAAAGTTTCTTATGTGACCTGAGCTCTGCCTGCCTTCTTGTTCCTCTAATCGTGGCTGTGCTGGTTGCCTCCTTTTGCTAGGGGTAGGAGAGATGTTGTGGAAAAGCAAGAGGCAGAGGCCAAGTTGAACTAGTGATCAGAAAATCGGGACTGAAGACAACCTGCCTGGAGGAGTAGAGCTTTTCTGGGAAGGATCAGAATCGAGAACTTTAGCGAGGGCTTTTATATGTCCCCAGGAAGGCACTGCAAGCTGATTTTCAAAGGCAGTGAGGAAACATTCTATTAGTAGACAGACCAGAACTTAACATACAGGATTTAATTTTATGGTGTCAGGGTAGATCATATATAGGTAGGTATATATATATCTATATATCATATATAGATATAGATACAGATATAGATATAGTTAAAACAAACACATTTTAAAAAAATAGTTACGGGGGTCTTACCATGTTGCTCAGGCTTATCTTGAACCCCTGACCTCGAGTAGTCCTCCTTCCTCGGCCTCCCAAAGTGCTAGGATTACAGGCATGAGTCACCATGCCTGGCTGCTCCGATATATTTCTTGATTCTGGTAACTTAATGAAGGTCTACCTTCCTACTACTGCTTAACTTTTTATTGCTCCAAAAAAAAATAAATAAATAATACTTGTTTTCATTTATTTTTAATGTGTTAGAGAAATGTTTGTATAGGAGTTTACTAGAAATTATAAAAGAGCATATGTAGCACTTGATACAACCCCATTCAAAACCTTCTGCTAAGTGGACTGTGTCACAGTACGTATCATATGTGAGAGGCCTACATTCTTGCTCTTTCTCACCCTGACAGAGCTTTTTCTTCTTTCTCTTACAACACCTCCAGTTCTGTGAGCCATTTAATATGATATAACTCTTAAATCCTTTGTTTTTGTGTTTTCCTTTATCTGGGAAGACTTCAGGGTTTTTTTGGTTTTGTTTTGTTTTGAGTCAGGATCTCATTCTGTTGCCCAGGCCGGGAGGCAGTGGCACAATCACAGCTCACTGCAGCCTTGAATTCCTGGGCTCAAGCCTCCTTCCTCAGCCTCCCAAGTAGCTGGGACTACAGATGACTGCCGCTATGCCTGGCTAATTTTTTTGGTAGAGGCTATGTTGCCCAGGCTTGTCTCAAACTCCATGGCTCAAACAGTACTCATGCAGTGCTGGGATTACAGATGTGAGCCACCGTTTCCTGCCCAGGCTCTAATTTTTTAGTGTTTCCTTTAAAATATAGCAGCCTGACCAAACCATAGCTGTCTAGTAGCTTGTGTAAGGTCTCAATTTTGTTTGTCGGTTTTGTGCAAGGATCATTTGGTTAAAATGCCAGGACTGGGGTAAACCCTTCGGGTCCCCTCCCACTGTGGGAGCTTTTTTGTTCTCTCAATAAATCCTGCTTTAAAAAAAAAAAACGCCAGGATTGTTCCCCCTCCAAAATTGCCTGGATATCTGATTTCATTAGATCTCAATGAATCACAAACTCTTTGGAGAATCTGATTAAACCTAAAGATATTTTCCCAGGAAAGTTTACATATGTACTCAACAAGTTTTACATACAATTTCAGGTGTTTCACGGATCCCCTGAAGCAATCTTGTTCCTTCACTTAAGAGTCAGAAGTCTATAGCTGTGCTGGCCAGTGCAGTAGCCACCAGCCATGTGAGGCCATTTAAATTTGTTACATTTTAATAAAGTTACAAATTCAGCTCCTAAGTTGCACCCACTACATTTTAAGTGGTCACATGGCTACCATGGGACAGCGCAGATAAGAACATTTATGTCATTGCAAAAAGTTCTAGATCGTGCTAGTATAGACACTGTGGTCAAATTATCTTGTAAATCAATACAGTAAAAAAAAAATTCTATTCATTTTAGTCATTGAAACCTAGAAATTAGTCTGTATTTTTTTTTTTTTTTTTTAGTTGGAGTCTCATTTTGTCGCTCAGACTGGAGTGCAGTGGCATGCTCATGGCCACCACAGCCTCAATCTGCCGGGCTCAGGTGATCCTTCTGCCACAGCCTTGCAAGTATCTGGAACCACAGGCTTGCATAACCATACCCAGCTAATTTTTTGATTTATTGTAGAGATGAGGTCTCGCCATGTTGCCCGGGCTGGTCTCCAACCCCTGGGCTCAGGCAATCCTCTCTCCTCGTCTCCCAAAGTGCTGGCATAATGGATGTGAGCCACTACACCCGGCTAATCTGTATTTTTAAATATGTTGGGACTCACTCTCCTTCCAGTGACTTACCTGCAGCAGGTGAGGCTCTGCATGTAGGTTTAAAGGCAACAGCATAAGCCGGGCTCAGTGGCTCAGCCTGTAATCCCAGCACTTCGGGAGGCTGAGGTGAGTGGATTGCCTGAGCCCACGGGTTAGAGACCTGCCTGGGCAACTTGGCGAGACCTCCTCTCTACAATAAATCAAAAATCAGCCGGGCGTGGTAGCGCTTGCCTGTAGTTCCAGCTACTTGGAAGGCTGAGGCGGAGGGATCGCCGGAGCCTAGCAGGTCGAGGCTGCAGTGGCCGGGAGTGGCCACTGCACTCCAGTCTGGGTGACAGAGTGAGACTCCAACTCAAAAAAAAAAAGGCAACAGCTTATTTTCTCTTCTTATCCTATCTCCTTTTTTTAAAAGTTCAAATATATTCACTTTTTATCACTTCTTAAATTATATTTTTAAAAATTCTTCTATGAATCCTTTCTACGTTAAAAAAAAAAATCAGATACTCTAAATGGCAGGAAGGAATCTTATGCCCTGATATCAAAATCAAGCTATTGTTTTTATCTTGCAGGTAGCTACCAGGAATAATTTCATAAGTTGTTTCCAAGATAAAATAAACCAATAGATATATAGCCATTTTGCAAAGCTAAATTTGCTTTGCATTGTTCTTTTATGGACTCTGATTATCTAGTTTCTTTCTCTTGCTATTCAAATAGTTTCTATAAAGTTTATTAGAAATTTTTAAACTTGTATCCTTTAGTTACATTAAGTTATTTGGGCTTGCATTTGTCTGCTTGATTTCATTTTTGTTTCCATTCTTTCCATCTTTTGTTTCTGTAGTCGCTAACTTATTTGTTAACATCAGCCAAAAAAGAAATTGAACTAATGTCAGAAGAGCTGAGGGGTCTGAAATCAGAGAAGCTGCTTCTTGCGCAGGAGGGAAATGATTTAAAGTTAGAAAAAGGTTCACTTTTATCAAAACTTATAGAGGTGGAGGCCAAAATAATTTTACTTCAGGAAGACCAACAGAAACTGTGGTCAGTAAATGAAACTCTTAATTTAGAAAAAGAGAAAGCCTTAGAAGAAAAGCAAGATGCTCAAAAGCTTTATCAGCAGGAACATCTCAGTAAAGGAGCTTTGGCTGTTGAGAGAGAGAAATTACTTAAAGAAATCAATATTGCACAGGAAGAACTCTTGAAGCTAAATCTGGAAAATGACTCTTTGCAATCTTCCAAGGTGAGCATGCAGGTGTTCATTGAAGAACTCCAGTTCAACAAAGATACTTTGTTTGCTAAGTCTGAGAAGGATCGGGAAGAAAAAGATCACCTGGAGGGCCAGATCAAGAACCTTATTACTGAAAACCTTGTCTTGGCTAAAGATAAAGATGATATCATTCAGAAGCTTCAGAGTTCTTATGAGGAGCTAGTCAAAGATCAGAAAGCCTTGGTCCAGGAGATTGAAGATCTCACAGCTGAGAAAACATCAGCTTCAGAGAAACAGTCAAGCCTCGATAACATATGCATAGCCTTAAAGGCAGAACGAGATAATCTTCTCCAGAACAACAGAGATCTACAGTTAGAGAAGAACATACTGCTTCAAGATCAGGAAAAGCTGAATGCCAGTCTGGAGGCCTCCCTGCAGGTCAAAGAGCTGCTCCACACGGAAGCCAGTGGGCTCCGTGCACAGCTGGATGAAGCCGGCAAAGCTCTGAGAAAGGCAGAGCTGGAGATGGTGCAACTTGAGGCTACCAACACAAGCCTCACTAAGCTCCTGGAAGAAATTAAGGCCAGTCGGGCAGTCACAGACTCCGAGTGCATCCAGCTTCTACATGAAAAAGAAACCTTGGCCATGTCTGAGAGAAGACTCTTAGCGGAAAAAGAGGAGCTTGTAAGTGAAAATAGGATCATCACTGAAAAACTCAAGAAATGCTCAGAAGAGGCCGCTCATATTGAGATGAGACTGAATGAGAAGATCACTTATCTAACGTCTGAGAAGGAGATGGTTTGTCAGAAAATTGCTAAGCTTAAAAAGCAGCAGGATAGTCTCTTGAAAGAAAAATCCACACTGGAAATACAAAATGGCGATTTACTTGCAGAGAGGAAAAATTCTATCAAAGCCATAGGAGACCTTAAAAGAAAATATGATCAAGAGTCTGCGAATAGAAGAATAATTGTACATGAGAAGATGAAACTACTTGGCAATATTGATGCTCTAAAGAAAGAGCTTCAAGAGAGAAAAAAGGAAAACCGAGAACTAGCAGCTAGCAAGTGTGATCTCTCTTTGATGCTGAAAGAGGCTCAAAATATCAAGAAGAATCTAGAAAAAGAATACACTAACATGCTGCAAGCAAAGGAGAGTTTGAATACTGAACTTAAGACTTGCTGTTCTGAAAAGAACGTTTTGCTGAGGGATGGCTTGAACCTGCAAGAAGAGTGTCAGAAATTAAAAGAAGAGCTCCACGAACTGCAGCAGTCCTTAATCCTGGAACAAGAGGCCAGAACAAAGGAGAGTGATTCATCCTTGTACGAAAGCAACAAACTTCATGGAAGAATGGTGCTCCTGGAGCAGGAGGTGGAAGATCTAAGAGTGTGTACTGAGGCACTCCAGTCCGAGAAGTTTGTACTACTCCAAGAGAAGACCAAATTGGAGCAAAAAGTGGCGGAGATAATTCAGGAGAAGGAGCTTTTGAGTGCAGAAACAGCTCAGCTCGCAGCCAGTATAGAGACTCTGAAAAGTGATTTTGCTGTCTTGTCCAAATCCAAGTTAAAACTGCAGGAACTGCACAGCTACCTCACCAAGGTTCTGGAGGACCTGCGGCTGAACCACAAGGTGACCCTAGCTGAAAGAGCCCAGGTGATGAAAGACAACAAGAAACTCCTGGCTGAGAAAAGAGAAGTGATGTTGGAAAAGGAAGAGCTTCTGCAGGAGAAGGAAAGCCTGGCAGAAAGCTGCTTCATCCTTCAGAAAGAAGTTAGCCAGTTGGCCAAAACCAACAGCCACATTTCAGCCAGTCTCCTAGAATCTCAAAATGAAAATTGCACTTTGAGGAAAGACAAGAGCAAGCTTATCCTTAAAATTAGAGAGCTTGAAACTCTTCATTCATTTACGGTAAAGTGAGAGGTTCAAGTATTGAGCACCTGGACTGCTTACTAACACTGTGTACTAACGATAGTGGCTTAGGTGACTTTTCTTCATTTCTATTTATAGGAATCCACCTCATTAAATCAGTTGCTTGTATGCCTCAGGCTGTTTATTACAGTCTGAAAGGGAGCTTCTTTACTAAATATCTAATTGTAGCTGCCTCTTCCCGTTTGAAAAAACTGCAAACTGTGAATAAAAAGGATTTTTTTTTTTGAGTTGATGTCTCACTCCATTGCCTAGGCTGGAGTGCAGTGGCACGCTCACAGCCACTGCAGCTTCGGCCTGCTGGACTCCAGCGATCCTTCCGCTTCAGCCTTCTAAGTAGCTGGAACTACAGATGCATGCTACCACACCTGGCTAATTTTTTTTTTTTTTTATTTATTGTAGAGATGAGGTCTTGCCAAGTTACCCAGGCTGGTCTCGAACCTCTGGGCTCAGGCAATCCACTCGCCTCCGCCTCCCAAAGTGCTGGGATTACAGGCTGAGCCACTGAGCCTGCCCAGGATTTATTTTTTAGTTGAAGGAGAAACTTCATGAAAAAGTTAACTGTGGTTCTTAAAGGCTTAAAAGCAAGAGTAAAATGGGCATGTATTAAAGTATCTTCTTTTGGTTTTAAATTGTTTCATTGTGTCCATCCATTTGGAGTTGGAAGATTCCATTGAAATCTTCGTGGCTGACAGTTGGGTAGATGTAATGCAGAATTCCTGTAAACTTTATTAGACCAAATGAAGTTATAAGCAAAAGTCTAAAAAATTTTATTTTAATTTTTTAAAAAGAGATGTAGTGTCACTGTGTTGCCCAGGCTTGTCAAACTCCTGGGCTCACGCAGGCCTCTTGTTTCAGCCCCCTGTGTCGCTGGGACTACAGGTGCCCAGCTAGATTTTGATTTATCTATCTATCTATTTGTTTATTTATTTTTATTTTTTATTTTTTGAGTTGGAGTCTCACTCTGTCGCCCAGACTGGAGTGCAGTGGCTGCTCCTGGACACTGCAGCCTCAACCTGCTGGGTTCCAGCGATCCTTCCGCCTCAGCCTTCCAAGTAGCTGGAACTACAGGTGTGTGCTACCATGCCCGGCTAATTTTTGATTTATTGTAGAGATGAGGTCTCGCCAAGTTGCTTAGGCGGGTCTCGAACCCGTGGGCTCAGGCAACTCACCTCAGCCTCCCAAAGGCGCGGGATTACAGGCTGAGCCACTGAGCCCGGCTTGATTTATTTTTTTATCTAACTTTTTATGATTATTTTTGATACTTATCAACTAAAAATTTGTTTCCATATCATACATCTTTTTTATTCACAGTCATGTTTATATTAATTACCTAAAGCTTGCATTAAATGCTTCTCATTAAACACTTATGCCTTATGTGAGAAGTGCCCAAATAATTTTTTTTTTAAATTCCCAACCTAAATTTTGAGTGATTTCAAAAACCCCAAGATTGAAATAGCAAAGATAGTATTCTAAACTTATAACAGTAAATATGATCTTGAGAGTTTCAGCTATATGAGGATGTTATTTTTTATTACCACTGAATGATCTCTTAAACATAAGTCAGAACGAAGAGAGCATGCCTGCCAGTGTAACTTGGAACTTTCTTTTTTGTTTTTAATTTTTTTTTTTTTTTTTTTTTTAGTTGGAGTCTCACTCTGTCGCCCAGACTGGAGTGCAGTGGCCGCTCCCGGCCACTGCAGCCTCGACCAGCTGGGCTCCGGCGATCCTTCCGCCTCAGCCTTCCGAGTAGCCAGAATTACAAGCATGCGCTACCACGCCCGGCTGATTTTTTTGATTTATTGTAGAGATGAGGTCTCGCTGCCCAGGCGGGTCTCGAGCCCGCGGGCTCAGGCAATCCACTCACCTCAGCCTCCCAAAGGCACGGGATTACAGGCTGAGCCACTGAGCCTAGCAACTTGAAACTTTCACTGGAAGGTGTATGTTTAGAGACTCTGAAAAAAATGCAAATTGCATAACAGTCGATATTGAAAATGGCATGAAAAGGTCTGCACCTTTGTTCTACTTCAGAACGTAGACCTTCCATGTCTTGGTCTGTCTGTTGCCGCCACCCTCCTTTACCCTCACAGACTCTGAATGCTGCCTGAGCAGCACAGCCTGATTGTCACCTAATGGTGCTGGCGAGGTATGTCCTCATTTCTCACAGTGTTTCCTTGTGTTTAGGCTGCTCAAACAGCAGAAGATGCCATGCAGATAATGGAACAGATGACCAGAGAGAAGACTGAGACTCTAGCCTCCTTAGAGGACACCAAGCAAACAAAGGCAAAACTACAGAATGAAGTAATCAGATATAAATGGCTTTTTTGTGCAAAGAACGGCTTACTGACTTCATGGACTGTTTGATCACTAACTAACTCAGGATTGCTTAAATTTTTGAAGTGTGACCTTATACAGGTTTGATCTATGTTAGTGCACATTCGTGTGCACCAGAGCCATGATATTACACATTGAGGGAAAAACCCTAACAGCTGGTATCTGAAATAACTGTTTAGCGAGAGCTTTAGTGAGAGGAGGCACTGATGCCATGCTCTAGTTTTTGTGTTCTTTATGTTACATCACACACATTTTTTTCCTTTTCTCTTTCCCAACTTTGAGCCACTAAATTCTATTCCTCAGCCCTGAGTTTGATGTAGGCCTTTTCTTGGCCTAATTCAGTACTGATTTCCTTTTGTGTCATCTTGAATGAGTCACTTCTAGAGCTGAAACACATTTGTGGCGTCAAGATATTTTGATTCTGTCCACAAGTAGCACTTCTCCTTCTGTAGCATTTCTCTTCCTCCTTCGATCCCCTACTCCCACCCTCCCAGCTCATACCACCCTTTCTTTCTTTGGAAAGCTGTTGCCTAAATCCTGAGCACACTGATCCACCAAAATGGTCATGTGAAGTTCTGTAGAACTTCAGATACTTTTTAAAGTGACAGGCAGAGACATTAAGGAAGCAAAGCAAGGGACAGGGTGGCCATCTAGAAGAATACTGTCAGATAATGATGGGGTAAATAAAACTTCACATAGAAGGGAGTGCATTTATAGAACTGACAACTCCTAAGAGAAGACTTAAGCTAAAAGCTTAGAAAAGCATAGTTGTTCATCAAAGTCAGAGGCAAAGGTAAAGGAAAGGATTTTGAAGAATGTTTCTAACCTTTGGGGGTGGAATCAGGAAGAGTCGTATCCTTCCATAACGTGTTCCTTGGTGTCTTTGTTATAGCTAGAGTACAAGACAGATGAGTCATTTCTTGGTCCCATTATGATATGTTGTTTTTCCTATTCTGAAACTCTGGAATGTTGAGGGGCATTAAAAGGCAGGTGGTGGTGGTATAAAAGCTAGCAAGACACTTTCTAGGCTTCATGACTGACGGTATCCGACATGGCAAAAGGAGACAGCTCCTTTTTCTGGCTGTAGGAGACAACTACACAAGGCCTAGAAAGCGATGACAGGAGGCCCACACGGGCTTCCATCCTGGGTGGAGGCTCTACAGCCAGAGTTCCAGCCACCTACTGGAGCCTGGATCATCACACCCCACTTGCCCAGTGACTTGTCTGGCTTTCCACCTGGTGCCAGGCCCTAAGCTGACTATGTCCCCCATGGGCTGGGGATGGGGGCTTAATGTGGGTGAGTGACCCTCAGTCCCACAACTTGGCCTTTCCTCTTCAGGTTCAAATTCCGATGGATAACTAAATCTTTCCAATCTACAAATATTTTTATTCAAATAAATAATTGTTGTGATGAGGACTACGTAAAACTGGTACTGACACTGGAAAATATATCCTAAAGTACTAGTCTATGGAGAAGGAAAGGGGTTTCTTTCCATTACAAAGAATAATCCCTGCTTATGTCATTGCTTTGCAATTTATATTTTGGTTTTTTAAGATGGATCATATTTAAATAGCAAGGTCAGTAATAAATGCTGAGAATTGTACACAAGATAAAAGAAAGCTTTTAATTTATATAGCAGTTTAGTTTGACATTTTGTATAGGTGTGCAGGAAATGTTGGACTAAGGAGGAGGTTTTTTTATAGACTTGTTATCTGTAATCTCCACCTAATAGACTGTTTTTTTGCAAGTGACTAATTTTATCTGTCGTCTTAATACATATTTTCATGAATAATTTGTCCAGTCATGTCATTGAAAAATGAAATAATTTCACCAAGATTTTTTTCTCTTGGTCTTTAAGTTGGACACACTTAAAGAAAACAACTTGAAAAATGTGGAAGAACTGAACAAATCAAAAGAACTTCTGTCTGTAGAGAATCAAAAGATGGAGGAATTCAGGAAAGAAATGTAAGTTTATCTCCTTTGAGAGAAATTACAGAATTTGTTTTAAATTGAGAAAATGAAAAAAAAGTGATTATTTAAAAAATGTTTGAAAAGTACATAACATAAAAAAAGTTACCCTTCGGCACTCCAAACACTATTGCATACCCCAGAAGTAATCCCAAGAAACTACTGTTAAGTCACAACTGTAGCTAACTTAAAGGATCAAGGTGTAATGTCTACTGACTGGTGAGTTATGTTTGGGATTCAAATGTGACTTTGAAAGCCTAGAGAAAGTACAAGTAGAATCAGAGGTGGTATGTTTACATGATAGCCCATCTTAACATTTTTTTTTTTTTTTCTGAGTTGGAGTCTCACTCTGTCACCCAGACTGGAGTGCAGTGGCCACTCCCGGCCACCGCAGCCTCGTCCTGCGGGGCTCCGACGATCCTTCCACCTCAGCCTTCCGAGTAGCCAGAATTACAGGCGCATGCTACCATGCCTGGCTAATTTTTTTTTTTAATTTATTGTAGAGATGAGGTCTCACCTGCCCAGGCGGGTCTCGAACCCGCGGGCTCAGGCAATCCACTCACCTCAACTTCCTAAAGGCGCGGGATTACAGGCTGAGCCACCGAGCCTGGCTGCCATCTTAACATTTGGACATGTCAGACCCTTTAAAAATAAATCCCTCCTGAAGTTTTGTGTTGTAATAAATTATTTTGTAGTGAAAGTAAAAAATAAATAAATAAATAAATCTCTCAAAACTTTTTATAGAAAAAAACCAGCATGTCACTTTTGAGATTTTCGGTATCTTGACTTGAAGAGTAATCAAATCTTCTGGCATGGAAATTCAATGACCAGTATTTTGGATGATTCTTTAAAATTATGATTTGCCCGTCAACATGCTGCCCAGTTTCAGGCAGATGGACTGTTCATGTTTTCTTTTTTTTTTTTTTTCTGTTGTTTGTTTTTTTAGAGTGACCAGCAAAGGTTTGAAAGGTTATTAGAGAAAGAAGGGAGAAAAGAAAGGGAGACATGTCAGAGCTGGCGTGTGTGAAAGAAACCGCCATATTTCCTTTGCTAATGCTGACTTAGTCCTTGCTTTTCAAGTTTGGTAATTGTAGTTATTAGAGATTGATATTTATGTGGCTTTTTAAAGGGTAGTTACAGTGTAGATTTCATTTGATCTTCTATTCTGTTAACTATAATACCATATCAACTATGTGGACCTAAAACTCTAAAGTCAATTAATTTGGTGAACATTTGAGTACATCTTTTGCACTAGGTACATTTAGGCTAGGAGGGATACAAAGATGAACATATGTGGTCCCTGCCCTTCAAAGGTTTATGTCATTTATTTCTAGTTTGGTGCCAGTCTACGATCATACAGCAGTGAACGCACCAGATCTTGTCCAATTCAGTTTCAAACTGCACTTTACCTCTTCTAAGTCACCATCCTCAATACTAATTGTTGATTGAACTTGGGCTAAATTAAACTATGTCTAGTTTTCCTGAGTTTTAAGATTCTTCTAGGAAGAATTTTTTTTTTTTTGGTCAGAGTCTCACTTTGTCGCCCAAGCTGGAGTGCAGTGGCACGCTCATGGCTGCCACAGCCTTGACCTGCCGGGCTCAGGCAATACTACTTCTGCCTCAGCCTCCAGAGTAGCTGGGACTACAGGCATGCACCACCATACCCAGCTAATTTTTTGATTTTTTTGTAGAGATGAGGTATCACCAAGTTTCCCAGGCTAGGCTAGTCTCGAACTCATGGGCTCAGGCAGTCCTCTTGCCTCTGCCTCTCAAAGTGCTGGGATGGCAGGTGTGAGCCACTGCTCCCTGTGTCTCCTAGGGATAATTTGATCTGAGCTACTCACTTAAGGAAATACACAGCTCATGATTTATTCTCTTCCTCAGTTGTAGTTTTTTTGTTGTTTTGTTTTGTTTTTGAGTCAGGGTCTCTCTTTGTTGCCTAGGCTGGAGTGCTGTGGCACAATCATGGCTCATCTCAGCCTCCCAGGCTCAGGTGATCCTTCTAGCTCAGTCTCCTGAGTAGCTGGGACTACAGGTGCATGCCACCACAACTTGCTAATTTTTTTTTTTTATAGGCTAGATCTTACTGTGTTGCGTAAGCTGGTGTTGAACTCTGGGCTCAAGCAGTTCTCTTACCTTTGTCTTCCAAAGTGCTGGGATTACAGGCATGAGCCACTGCACTTGGCCTGTGTTTTTTTTTTTTTTTGTAGAGGCAAGGTCTCACTCACTGTGTTGCTCAGGCTGGTCTTGAACTCCTGGGCTCAAGCAATCCCCTCACCTCTGCCTCCTAAAGTGCTAGGGTTATAGGTGTGAGCCACTGTGCCCAGTCCTCAGTTGTAGTTTGATAACATTTTTCGAGATTATGTTTAAAGATTTTCCAGCAATTCCATTTACACAGATTTATACATTTGCAATTATGATTATGGTCTTTGGAAGAGGCTTCAATTTCTTTGATCTACCAGGTCAAATAACACAAAGAGATGATGGGTCGCGATGACAGGATAAACAGATTTGATTGTTTGAATATAACAGTTTAGTTATATTCAGCGAGGGTGGGTTCAGGTACAGTATAAGATTGTTTTTTTCCTTCATGACACAAATCCTTTTGCTAACCTGGAGCATTTTGGAACACAAATTGACTTCAGTTTGTTTGTACTATGCAGGCAGCTGGAGAGGGAGGATGTGGGGAGGAGAGTCCCTCACCAGCCTCTGCTGCCATAATCTCACTTCTAAGCTCTCTGGGCCAAACTAGATGAAGGAGGGGGCAGGGACAGAGTGGATCTAGCCAAGAGAACTCTTGGGATTTAGATAAAATGCCTCTTTCCTGCAGGACTACTTAGGAATCTCTCGTGGTGGTCATTACTACTATTTCACTGAGTTTATCCGTGAATGTTCAGAGTCCTCACTAAATTCTGTCATGTCACCCACCCCAATTAGTGTGGAGTTGGTTTCACCCCTATTGTTTTTGTTCCCCCATCTTTGAATTATTCTGTTACTAATAAAAGCTTGGCTAAGACTGTGGCCCCAGCTGTGTTTACTCTTAATGTTAGCCTGTGCTTAGTGGTCCCTGGTGCTGTATTCCCCAGATATCTGATCTGATCTCTAAGCAAAGTAGTTCAGGTGAGGAGGAATCAGACCCCAAGGTAGATAGAGCCCAGGCTACCTTGGATTCTTTACTTTTTTTCCTGCCCCACTGGACCTGAGGGACTCACATCTTTCTGGTAGTGTCTTGGTACAACCATGGTCAGGATTCTTAGCAGGAAGGAGGAACAGTCAGAGACTGTCAGTCAGAGACTGTCAGTAGCGTTCCACAGAAACTGGTGCAGGGAGGTACAGGGATTAGGTTGAAAAACCCCTGCCCCTGATGACTCGTCCCGGCTCAAGACTTGGCCAAATTTCAAGAACCCACTGATGTAAGAGGACTATGTAATGGCAATAGTGCGTCTCAAAACAAAGCAGTCACTTTTCCACTCCTAAATCTTGTTCCTCAGTGCTCAAAGCTGGAGAATGGGCAGCTGTTTGTCTTTTCTGTGGCTTAAATATATATGGGGTTCTTCATGTCCTCTGGAACTTTTTTGGTTTTCCTCCTCACCTAATAGGACTATGTTGCTTGGAGGAAAAGGGACACCAATGCAGGCACAGGAGTTCTGATAGGAACCCCTTCGTCTAGGGTGTTGCCTTTGCCCTCAGGAAACCAGCACTGGTAACTAAATATTCTTTTCTTCTATGCTACTTACTAGACTGACTTTAGGAAGCTGTTGATTTCAGCTAACCAGCTCCTATTTTCAGTTGGACATCAATAATAAAATGGTTTCTCATGAGTATATAGTTTTGGATCTTAGGGAAAAGGTTATAAGCAATCTAATTTTTCTTTTTCTTTTTTTTTTTTTGAGTTGGAGTCTCACTCTGTCACCCAGGCTGCAGTGCAGTGGCATGCACACTCACGGCCACCCCAGCGTTGACCAGCTGGGCTCAGGTGATCCTTCCGCCTTAACCTTCCAAGTAG